AACAGTGCTGAACTTGGAGCCATATCTTCCAAATTTTCTGGGGCAGTTCTGATTTCAAGTATCCTGTCCCACAACCCCTTCAGGGCACCCATACTCTCAGACCATGGGTCTATTCCAGTGTTTGGCTTCAAAAAAGTGTTATCACCACAGCTCCTGATGAGGCAGGCCTGCCAAGTCCCTTAGCTAAAACCACAGGGGCAGCTTGTTTTGCCAATCAGTACCTTCTTCCCACAGCCCTCAACTTGTACGTATGGAGAAGGGCTCAGGTAAATGACAGAGGGCCTCAGTACACTACAGATGAGAGAGAATACAATACAATACAATAGACTAAGAACTCTCGCCGGGAGGAAGATGTGAAGCTAGGAAAATTTTAAAGTTGGGATAATGAAGTGCATGACACCTCCCCCACCCTCTGCCATACCCTTTTAAAGTTACTGGGAACTATTCCAATAATTAGACTGATGACACTTCTGGGAAGAAAACAAATCTATACCCTTTTGCTTGGCCTGGGATATAAAAGCTGAAAGGACAGTTGTCACCCTACAACAATCACTTCTTTCTTTCCTCTTCTGCTGTTCCTTCACTCTTGTATCCCATTAACTTACTTCTCTGCCCTTCTTCAGTCTTGCCTGTGGGGGGAGGTCAGATGCGCAGGCATTCCCCCACTGAGGGCAATCAGTTGCCAGACTGCTGTCTCATCCCTCCACAGGGGTGGGCCTGCTCCCTGCCTCTGGGGACAATGGACAGGCTCCTGTAGGAGGAGTTCGCATCCTACTGATAATGGTCTCTATCAGTTGGGCCAGGGACAGGCCAAACCGGCTGTCCCTCTTCCTACTGCATGTATGCCCCTCATTACTATGTAACCTATAGTGCAGCTCCACCCTGTGATGTATGTCTCTACTTGTAATTAGTGGGCTGGCTTGCCCCCAAAAGGTATATAGGTGTGAGTCAGCAATATAGATCCCTCTCTGGTTCTGATCTCCTTGCTGCTCACTCCCTGGTCACTCCCCTCTCCCTTGTTCCCTTCCCCTCCTTCCCTTCCCCTCCTTCCCTTCCCCCTCTCTCCAAGTGGACCACCAAACTGGGCTGAGGTGAGCAATGCTACCCTGTAATATGTCTGACTGTATTATTGTAATATCTCTCATGCTCTTGATGACTTTAATATAATACTTATATATCTCAACCGTACAATTGTGCATTACTGAACCCAGAAGTAGTATTACTGAATCTGAGTAGTAGCAATAGGAGTAACAGCGGGTGGGGGCTGGCCCTTCACCCCCCAGCGCCAATTTTTTAATTTAATGATACACTTGCTTATGCTCTTGACAATGAAAATCCCTGGGAAACTAAAAAAATATAGATTCCCAGGCCCAATCCCAACCTTCTCCAAACAGAAATGTTTAGAAACCCCTGTCTGAGATCAATTCATTGCACTCAAATGCTCCAAAGACTTCCGGGTGTATTGGGCGTTAGCCTCAGAGCTAAGATTTTGAAACGGAGGCTCCAAAGGTTTCAAGGTGTTGCTCTTAGTAAAAGATAAAACTGCCACAACTTCTTCCTTTTTCTCTTTCAGGAAGCCAAGCAATTTCTTTTCCCGCTCCTTATAATTTAAATTCACATGCATACATTTAGATTCATGTACATATAGAACAAAATGCCTAATGTTGGAATAGCTGTTTGTGAGAGGAACCAAAAAGGTTACAAACTGAGGAATTAGCAGAACCACGCCCCTTACAGTTCAACCATTTGGGGATGCGCACAAAAATCTGGTCATCTGGAGACTCTCATCTGGAGACAGAAGGCCAGATTTTAAAAATCTGCAGCCATTTTTACTCCATAAGCAAACTAGACAGCACTTAATTTCCTCTTAGAATTTGTCCCTAAAGTGGATTGATCACCTTAAAGTAATGCATGTTTGCTAAAAGTCTTTTCAAATTATACCCCAACAACAGATAAGGCCTATAACATGACAACCACCACCAGGGAGGGGCGTGCGCTTCAGTATCATCGACCAGATGAAACCAAGAGGGCAGCGTTTGTCCAAAAACAAAGCTTGGAAGGCAGGTAAGGACAAGAAAGGAGGACAAATGGAGATGGGAATCCGAGAAATGGGAAGAACGCTGTTCCACTGTGGTGACTGCAACCAAGGTCATGAAGCAAAATGTGTATAAACTGTTGGCTTTGCTTTGGAGACTTTCACCCCAAACTAAAAAAAGCTTAAAAATAAGGCTTTACGGAAACCTGTTTAGTGGAAAGAACCTCTAGGATTGAATTCCTGTTTTCACCTGCCTAACTGTTCAGAACGTTGCTGAGCGAGGATGTGACTACAGATGCGATTGATATGAAGACCCAGAGGAGTTCCCATTTCTGATTCTGTTGGTCATGATCACCGATGCCTTAGAGATGCAGAGCTGTTTGTAAATGAATCCTCTTTACAATTGTGGAACATTATGCTCTAATCAGAACACATTGATGATTCAGAAATGATTGCTTGCAAAACACATCAATAAACATCATCGCATATTTTGTAAAAGTATGTAATGTTGTTAGACTAGCCCATCAATTACCGGCTGCCATATATCATCAGTACCTTGTGTGTCAAATTTATTAGACATTTTAAAAGCAAATTTTAGAGTGACTCAGCTGCCTTCATTCATTGGCTTTAAAATATAAAATATGTCATTCCATGGAAGGCAACATGTTAGGGAAGTATCTGGAGTTGATAAAGAAAAGTAAGCTATACAGCAGACAATATTAACACCAGTGTGCTCACCAGAATGAAATGCCTTCCGGTATATCAAAAATAGGGGAGAGACCTTGATACAAGCAGTTAGCTTAATGATTCCAACTAAAGATTCATCTTTCTCTTGTTGGTGGAAATAATTCACTGGTAATGGTGTGCCTTCTTAAGAGCACAAAAATATCCTGAGAAATTATTCAGATTACAATAAAAAAAACAGAACTTTCATCGTACGGTTTGGCAGAAAACAAAGCTATTAGTTTAAAAGCAGATGAACTTCGCTATATTGAGTACAGAATATAGGGAAATAGATTACACTGGAGAAAAAAAAATTACACTGAATGCCTGTGTATAACTTTTTAGTTACCCCTGCATTGGTCTGTTAATCCCAACCAGCCACTCCATGGACAATAGATGAGACTACCAGTTTCTGTAAAGATTTATAGCTTTGCCAAGCCCTATAAAGGGTCGCTATGATTTGGGATTGACTCAATGGCAGTGGGTTGGGTTCGGGGGTTATGTTATACAAATGATATACAAGGAAGTAATCTAGAGCTCTAGTTTTCATTTTTTCTCTCCAAGAGGTTAAAACCTCAATTCTAAATTTCACACCAAAACATACTCATCCAATATTTGGTACAACCCTGATACAGAGCTCAAAAATATCCACTTTGAAAAGTAGCCACCCCACCCTCAACCCCCAAATCAACAGCAGCCTCAAAGCCTTACTGTCTAGGGGGTAAATTAAAGGCACGGACACTTCACTTTTTAGAATTCATCTTCTTATGGACCTAGGTCACTTGACTCTGGAGCTAAGAGGGAAAAAAGGAAATCAAATGGGAATCACAGGATTTCCCTCTTTACATCCCCAGTGAATGCGCTCATTCATTCAATGAATGTGTTTCCGAGGTTTTTCCAATTCCCACACCCTCATTAGTTTGGGAGTGCCCCCCGCCCCAGGAGTTTATTTGAAATCTCTTTCAAATTTCACCAAGTAAACATGAAAATGTCCTCATGAACTTTAATCTCCTGATAAGCAAATGTTCTATCTTTATAATGCTTCTTGGAAAACACTTAAGGGGCAAACCACAGACTTCCTAACATGGTCCTTATCTCCCACTACTCTCACCCCACAGGAAGAAAAATGGAAAATTTTCACAAAGGAGTTAAAATGAACCACGAAAATAAATAAATCACACACACACTGGCTAAAGCCATGCCCGGCCTTCAAATACACAGAATTAGTAAGCTCCTGTTCCCTTCTACTTGCGCTTAGCAGGGAAGAAAGAGGGCAGCTTAGGTGAGCTATCTACTTCCAATTCCAACAACGCTCTTGGGCGCACCAAATTTGGAGGGTAGGCCAGCCTGGCTACGGGTTTTAGGAAGAGTCGCAGATCTGCGACTCCTCATCCTAAATTCACTGGTGGGCAACGATCAACTCCTAGGATTGCTGGAATCTTTGCGGAGGGGCTCAACAATACACGGCAGGCCTTTGTGCATTGTCTGAATCACACGCGCCTTGGCTGGTTCAGAGAGAGGAGGGGACACCCCCGGCTCCTCAGAACCCTTCCCAATGGCATGACACAGCTGGGGCTGTGCCTACACCTGCGCTCTGACCCGGCAGGTGGACCGGTCCTGATTAGGGAGCTGAGTGAGCCCTCCCTGCCTGGCTCTCGGCGGCCCCGGACTTGGCAAGGGTCACGCGTGTCGCAGTCGAGACTTTGATTCAATGGGCACTTCCGATGGACGGGAATCAAGGGAAGGGTCGAAACCTCCGCGCAGGCCAACGGTCCCCATCTCCGACGCTGGTCGCCCGAGGCCCAAGAACGCAGAGATCCAGCGTCAGAAGCTGCCACCCTGATGTCCCTTCGGGTGCGGTGTCATGGTCTCCTCTCCCGAAGACCCCGTGACACGGGAAGGGAGTGGGCCCAACCTACACGAACCCAAGTGGCCGTCAGGCCTTCCCAGCTGCCCGCTAAGGAGTCCTCTGGGAAGCAGGGTCTCCTCGGCTGCCACGCCCACGCCCAGCCTGTCCCACAGGGGTCCCTCCCCCAGCCGCACCCCGTTTCCGGTCGCCCCTGACCCCTCAGCGCCCCAGGGCGGCCCTTCTCTCGCCGCTGGAGGCCCCCCGCATTCTGGCCCGCCTGGGTCTCCTTTCGGGCCCGCGCCGGGGCCGCAGCGGGCTGAATTTCGAGGGCCAGGCAGGGATCTAGGTCCGAGGAGCCCGGGAGGGAAGCCCCGAGGGGCGCGGGCCACTCACCAGTCGCCGGTGCGCAGTCCCTCAGCCAGTGACTCACTCCCTCAGGCGCTGCGGCCGCCGCAGCCGAGCGGGCGACGGGAGGGCGGCCGGACGTAACCACGCAGCGCGAGGGGCGGGGCCTGCGGAGCTAAGCGGCGGGGGGCGGGGCCTGTGGAAGGCACTCCCCCTTGCTGGAAACACCTGGCACCTGGCGCTGTATCTGTTGATGAATATGCAAGAGGTCGTCCTTGGGTTACGCGCTTTTTCCGCTCAGCCTCTCATCTAATCGTATTATATCCGCTCAGTTATGCCAGAAATCGAGTTGTCACCCTAAAATATTATCGTCTTCGCCCCTTTGTCAGGTCCTGTAACCTGTTCTGTGCGGCCTTCCTGGGAACTCGCTGCCCTTATCACCTTTGTACCAGCCCTCTATCTGGTCTCCCAGGGTCAGCCTGACCTCATTCTTCAAACACCAGCCAGAATGCTTGCTTGCTTGCTTGCTTTTTTTTTTCTTTCTTTCTTTCTTTTTAAATCATTTTATTGGGGGCTCGTACAACTCATCACAACCCATCCATACATACATACATCGTGTCAAGCACATTTGTACATTTGTTGCCATCATCATTCTCAAAACGTTTGCCTTCTACTTGAGCCCTGAATATCAGCTCATTTTCCCCCATCTCTCCCCACTCCCCCCTCCTTCAGAATGCTCTTTCAAAAGTCAAAATAGAACGTTACTCCTCTCCTCCTTGCTTAAACCCTTCCAACTAGGACAAATGTCAAAATTCAGGCTGTGACCTGCAATTGTGCTCCCCTAGCTCCCGTCTCAACTCCCTGAGCTAGATTGTGCCATCTCCTCTTCAGACTCACCTGCAGCTCCGTTTTGCTCCTTCAGTAAGGCTACAGATTAAAGGAGACGTAATGTCTCATGGACTTTAGACATCATCAGGAGAGACTCAAACCAAGCCAAATGCACTGCCTTCGAGTCAATTCTGACTCATGGTGCCTCCTATAGGGCAGAGTACAACTGACCCTGAGGGGTTTTGAGACTGTCTCTTTCTCCTGCGGAGTTGCTGACGATCTTGAACCACAGACCTCCAGGTAAGGAGTACGCCCCCTAGGCTCCTCTTCAGGAGAGACTACTCCCTGGAAAAGGGCATCCTGTTTGATAGAGGGGCCCTCCACAAGATGGATTGACACAATAGCTACAACAATGCTCTCCAACACAACAATGATTGTGAAGGTGGCGCTTGACCAGGCCTGTTTCTTTTGTTGTACATTCAGTCATTCTGGGTCGGAACCTACTCAACGACCCAGCAGCAAGACCAAATGTTATTGTCAGGAGCTGTTGGGGGTAGAGAGAACAATTTAACAGATATCTGTGAAATTTTTTAATGTGCTTGTTCTTTAAACCTACTCTAGGCACTTACAAGAAATGTTCATAATAAATTTGGGGGAAAATACACTTAGTATTGATAGGAATTAAATTATAACCCTTCTTTTTTATATAAATAAATCATTTAATTGGGGGCTCTTACAGCTCTTATAAAATCCATACATCAATTGTATCAAGCACATTTGTACATGTGTTGCCCTTCATCATTTAAAAAATATTTTCTTTCTGTGTGAGCCCTTTGTATCAGCTCCTTTTTTCCCTCCCTGCCCCACCCTCCCACCCTCATGGACCCCTGATAAATTATAAATTATTCTTATTTTCATATCGTACACTACCCAATATCTCCCTTCATCCATTTTATTGTTGTTTGTCCCCCTGGGGAAGGGGGAATTATAACCCTTCTAAAAGAAATATCTTCGACACTAGCACATTTGTCATTATAAAGAGCCCTGGTGATGCAGTGATTATGAGTTGGGGCATTAGGCATGGACTCGATGGCAGTGAGTTTGTTGGTTTTTGTCATTAATGAGGTCAGACCAGAGAAGAGTGGATCCCTACAGAGTGATGTCTTATAAAAGGCAGAATTAACACACACACAGAAGGGATGACAGATACATCTAAAAGTAGACAAGAAACTCTTAGGAATGTCCCATGAGTAAGGCTCCTTCCCTAAAGGCCCTATCCTGATGTGGCCTCTGCTTGCAGCCTCTGACGTTCTTTGGTATGGTTCTTCTATCCATAGTTTGTAGCTCCCACCTAACGACTAGGTGGGAGCATGCCAACAGGGTCCTTGGGATTAATATGAAGGGACTGGTCAGTGCTACCATTCTGTTGTGCATACATTGAGCCATCTCAGAAGCAAAGATGGAGAATCCCAGGACACTCAAGAAATAAATGCCAAGAGCACAGTGTGTGTCTCAGATCCCCAGGAACAGGAGCAATACCCAAACCATAAGACAGAGCAGTGGGCTGCCCCGCCCATAGAATGAGTAAAACCGTGAGCCTTCAGGTAGAAGAATGGCTTGCAGAGTAGGGTGCCTTTTGGACATTTATCAGTGGCAAAGAAAGGTTTTAACACTTGCCCAAGTAGGACAGAGGCCAAGGGGCCTCAGAGCTAAGAGGCAGAGGACTAGAGAAAGACCTGCAGACAAACAAGCCTATGGGCCTGGCTGAGAAGAGCTCTGTGGGCAAAAGAACTGTGCCCTTAGCATTTCTGAACTGGAATTGTAACCTGTTAACTTCCCTTTTAAGACCCAGAGTGAGTAGTGTCTGTGAATTCTGTGTGGCCCTTGCAATAGATCATCTACCCCCGCAGAGAAAAGAGTGCTGGGGGAGAGAGGGCGGATATCAGAATTGGAGGGTGGAGGGTGGAGGCATGTCTGACCTCTGCTTCATAGGAATCTTCCTTGGGCAGGTTGTGGAGTTGGATTCATCTTTCTCATTGTGTAGATGGAGGAGTCAGACAGACACCTATGCATTTCTTTAGACTTCTAGCCCCTAAAACAATTCATTTCTGTCCTATAAAGCCACATCGGCATTGTTTGTTAAAGCAGCACTCAAGCAAAACTCGCTGCCATTGAGTAAATTCTGACTCCTAGCAACCCGATAGAACAGGGTAAGAACTATCCCGGTGAGTTTCCAAGACTGTAACTCTTTACAGGAATAGAAAGCCCCATCTTTCTCCTGTTAAGTGGCTGGTGGTTTTGAACTGCTGACCTTATGGGTAGCAGCCGAACTCATAACCACTACACCACTAGGACTTCTCTAGTTAACTGAAACAGGTTGATCTCGTTTTTCCTTTTTGTAATCTACCAAGGTTATTATATGTATTTCTACATGTTCATGTGGAAGTGTGTAAATGCAATAAAAGTCTCTTGAAGGTTGACATACTAGAATGACTGCAAGAGGTCAAGGGTCACTTTTGTTTTATCCTTATGTACTTTTTAAAGTAAGAATGCATGAATGCCTTTTTGCATTATTGAACTAGCTAAGGTGAAGGGGGAAATAATATTCTACAAGAGGGAGAGGATATTAAAAAAGTGGGGGTAAGGTCAGGCCAAACTCTCGAGAGATTTGATAAGTTGTTTAAATTGATGAATACAAAAATTAAGGTCTGAAATATAAGCCCTCACCTATTTCATAATAAAAAGATCAAAGAAAACCAAAATTAAGAACAAAAGAATACATGATAAGGAAAGGAAATAAACCCCTTCTCCCTCTCCTCCCGATAACTGCCATATACAACAGACTGCAATTGAATGGCCGCGAGAGTTCAAGTCAGATAAAGTGACATAATGCGGGGCTTAGCTGGTGTGTGCCACACATGATGAGCCCAGGTAAGGGCTCCCACTGTTATCTACGTTATTGTCTGTCACTGCTCAGGGTGAACTATGGAGTGCGTTGTCAGATAAGAAGTCACACAGAAAGTGCTGAGTCATACTGGGGTATACCAGTCAGTAACCAAACCCCTCCTCTCAGGCCCCTGGGTTGTGGACTGTGTGGGGCTTAGTCTTAGTTATCTAATGCTGGTACAACAGTGGGCAGCTTCAGCGGAATGTGCACCCTCACAGTTAGGAAGCTGGAAGTCCGAATTCAGGATGCTAGTTCTAAGGGGAAGGCTGTCTCTCTTTGTTGGCTCTGGGGGAAAGTCTTCGTCTTCTTTTCAACTTCTGCTCCGGGGCCATCTTCACTTGGCCTACCATCTGTCTTCCTCCAGCTCTGCTTGCTCACTGGCATGTTGAATCTTTTTTATATCACAGCAGACATTGATTTAAGACACACCCTACATGACGGACTGCTAACAAAACCCATTACCCAACAGCCTCCGGGCACCAGCACCACTGGCTGACAGCCAAGGACATGAGATGCCGTTCCCTGCCACTTTTTGCCTGACTTCCAAGCTGCTGGTTCTGGTGGTGTAGTGGGTGATGTGGTGGGCTTCTATCCTCAAGGTCAACCATTCAAATCCACCAGCTGCTCTGAGAGAGAAAGATGCTGCCAGCTATTTGGTTCCATAAATGATTTACAGTCTCAAAAACCCAGAGGGGGCAGTTCTGTGTTCTATTGCGTCCCCATGAATCGGAATCAACTTGATAGTACTGGGTTTGGCTCAATAAGCCAAAAGGTGCTGGGTCCCAATATGGCCCTGGGAGTTACTCTGAATTAAACCTGGGGACCAGAACTGACTTCATGGGCATGCAACCAGGGAAGAGCCCCCAGCTAGGATAAACATTCTGCTGGTACCATCTTCATCACTGTTGACCCCAGACCCAGCATTTCCATGGGAGACCAGGCCCTGCAGGTGAGCAGCTAGGAACTTTGGATCTTGTGACCCAACCCCATGCAACTGAAGGAAAACTAACCAAATTGTATCTGCTTAATATGCACTTGAGTTTCATGGATTGGGTATTGATGGAATTCCTGCTACGTGCTGGAAGGGAGTGCTACCGAGACAAATAAGGCTGGGACTAGGGATTAGGAAAGGCTTGCTGAAGGAAGTGGTGTCCATATGGAATCCTAAGGGATGAGTTGAAGTTAGGTGGTGATCTGAGCACAGAGGCATGAGAATAAGGTGGGGAGGAGATTACCAGGGGTTTACACAAGATAAAAACATGAACAAATGTTTTCATTCATAAATACAAATATTCTCCTCCCCCAAACAACAACAACAAAAAACCCTCACAGCTATTGAGTCAATTCCAAATCATAAGTAAATATGAATGCATGCTTATAAGGTAATAAGCAGATTTTATAATACAGATCAGTGGTTTGAACCTTTGATGCATCAGCCACTCGGCAGGAGAATGATGCGGCCAGCAGCCGCCTTGGTAAAGATTCCAGCCATAGGAGTCGGGATCTACAGCATAGCAGTGGGTTTTCAGAAGAGGATGCCAGTGTCATTTTTGAGTTTTAGTGCAAAACCAAAAAAAAAAAAGACACTTTTCTGTTAACAACAACAAAAAGTAATTCAAACATGTTCAAGCTGTATGGACCCCTGACATGTGTCAGTCAGACGTCCCAGAACTAACACGGCCAATCTCAGGAAGTCCAGTGAGAGTGAGAGACTGCCTTCTCTCTACCACACACCTACTATCTGAAGATTTATCTGTGCTTACAAGGGAAGGGGGGTTTGGGTTTGCTTGCCCAGGTGGTTTGGAGTTGGCCCACCAGCCTCTCCGTGGGAGAAAGATGAGGCTTTCTACTCTCACAATGAGTTAAGTCTCCTAAACCCAGAGGGACAGTTCCACCGCGTCCACTCGGGTGGCCATGCGTCGGAATCGTCCCCAAGGCAGTGTGCTCGACTGTTTGGCGCCCTTGAAGCTGTCACCTGCCCCCAGCATGGAGCCCAGCTCCGATTGGCGCGGCCTTCGCTTTCCGCCAGCCGGAGACTGGCCTTCCGGGGGTCGGCGGG